CATCATCATCATCATCATCATCATCATCATCATCATCATCATCATCATCATCAGCTAACCCGGTACCGGTACTTATACTGAGGGTAACTTTCCCTTTACAAAAAAATAAGTTCCATTCAGATATCTAGAATCCAATATTGATTCGATAGTGCCGTAAAATACCTAATCAATCAATCAAAAACTTAGAACAATAAACTTACAACCATTTATCACCAGAACATAGCCATAATAAAAGTAAAGTTGTTCCCGCATCCGATCCGGACATCAGGGATTGCCTTGTCAGTGAGACAACTTCCTGGGCCTTTGGCATATTGTGGTAGGGTGGCCAGTTCCTTTCCACGCCGCCTTTACTTCCCCAACTCGAAGTCAGGTACCCATTACTGCTGGGTGGGCAGGAGGGGGCGAAAATAAATCTGTGTCCGAACCGAGGCTGGAACCTGGACTTTCCGCATCAGAGACGAGTGCACTAACCGCTCCGCCACCGCACCCTCATGTAACAATAGTAACAAGGCGAATTGAACTGAAAATAATATGTGAGGCAGCATGGTGGAATCAGGCTCTCGTCAAAATAATCAGTGAAGAAATTGGCATTTTCGGCAGGTTCGTGAATTTTTATCAAATTTTTGTTATTTGGCTCAACACCTTTCATGCCCATTAACGAACTCATTTCTGAGTGGATTTTTCTTTAAAACTTTGATTAAAGGCACACAAAAATGTAAATTTTCAGTTACCACGGACTCTTAAGCTAAGGAAATAACTAATCTTTGGCGGCCATTTTCTCACTAATTTTACCCCTGAACACAGGTGACCCCTACCCCCTTCATTCGCAAATATCTCGACTTGTATTTAAGATAAATGGATATTTTATACATCTAAATAAAAATAAAGACAAGTGAAAAAGCTTTAAGATGATACCAATAACTCTACAAGCCCAAACATTGACGAGAGCCTGACTCCACCACGCTGTCTCACATATGGATTTTTTGGCACCTCGAAAAGCCACTGTATAAGACTATCTAGATGTTCCAAAGTCATTATTCATTTAACCACACTAGGCACGAGGAAAGTGTGCGTGTGTGTGTGTGTGTGTGTGTGTGTGTTTATGTGTGTGTTTGTTTGTGTGTTTATGTGTGCGTGTGTTTGTATGTGTGTGTGTATGTGTGTGTGAGAAAGAGAGAGAGAGAGTGTGTGTGTCTATGTGTGTGCATGTGTGTGTATGTGTGTGTGTATGTGTGACTGTGTGTATGTGTGTATGTATGTGTGTGTGTGTGTGTGTGTGTGTGTGTGTGTGTGTGTGTGCGTGTGTGCGTGTGTGTGTGTTTGTGGTAGGAGAGGGGTGTCTGTTGTGAGATTCGGGAGTCAATAACATATAACGGTCGACGTTAAAACTGAACAATCGTTTCAAGACGACTTGATTTCTCCTTCTCATTTTGAGATGCTAAATCTTGCGCTTTCTCTCTCTCTCCCTCTCTCTCTC